TAATCTTGGCTGTCTTTGTTGAATCGTATAGTCTTGTAGGTTTGACCAGAGATCACATCTCAATTTGTAAATTAGAAAATTAAGATCCAAAAAGGTCATAACTTTTTCATGGTCTTAGTTAAAATCTTTGTCCCATGTTCAGTGTGGTTTTCTAAAATAATTTTTGAAAAAGAAATGGGGGGGCACCTGGGTGGCTCAGTCAGTTAAGCATCTGCCCTCAGCTCAGGTCATGATCCCAGAATCCTGGGACCGAGCCCCACATCGGGCTTTGGGCTCCTTGCTCAGCTGGGAGCCTGCTTCTCCCTCTGCCCCTCCCCCCTCTTGTGCTCTCTCTAGCTCTCTCAAATAAATAAAAAACATTTTTTTAGGGGCACCTGGGTGGCTCAGTGAGTTAGGCATCTGCCTTTCTGCTCAGGTCGTGATCCCAGAGTTGTGGGATTGGAGTCCCAGGATGGAGCTGGTGTCTGGCTCCCTGCTGAGCAGGAAGCCTGCTTTTCCCTCTGCCTCTCCCTCTCCTCGTGCGCTCTCTCTCAAATAAATAAAATCTTAAAAAGAGAAAAAAAGGAATTAAAGAAATGGAAGGACCCAAATCCCAGAAATTGTTTACCTAAGAGTTGGGTACTTCGCTGTTAATAATAAAAACAGCACAATTGTTCTTGTAATCACATTTATTTTGAAGGTGTAATTTGGCCCTTTTGTTTTTCCTCTTGACCAGGTTCTTGTATACGTTGGCTGTGTGTGAATTATAAATGCAAACTGTATATTACTCAATCTTCCAAGTCTTAACTTACTACAGCTACCCAAACTACCTGTTGGTGGTTCATTTATAATTAAATTCTAATGCTTCTTTGATGCATTCCTTATGTATTGCACTGTTAATTTTCCTACTCTAGGGGAGAAAATGGGAAGATGGGTAAGATGGCAGTTGTTTGTGTAGAACAAACAAATTAGTGTGTCATTAAAAAATAGATAAGTCAGTGAGGTTACTTTTTTCCCTTTTGTCCCTAATATCTTTATCTTCTGGTTGATATGGTTAATTTCCACCAATTATATTTTAGCCCACTAAATTCTTTTTTTTTTTTTTTAAGATTTTTTTATTCATTTGAGACAGAGAGAACATGAGCAGAGGGAGGGGGAAAGGGAGGGGAGAAGCAGATTATCCACTAAGCCAGGACCAACTCTGGGCGCTCAATCCCAGGACACAGAGATCATGACCTGAGCCCAAGGCAGATGCTTGACCATCTGAGACACCCAGGCGCCCCTAGCCCGCTAAATTCTGACTTATTTTAAATCAGAGTTAATAGTGAAGAAGTAACTGCTTTGTAAGTTATATTTAAGTATAAATTGTAGCACCATTCTACAGGTAACTTCTTTTTGTTTTATCATTCTCTGTGGAAGGAAGCCTCCCTACAGCTAAAGATGGACTCTGCCTAGCCTCTGTATAGCTCTTTGTTTAGGCTTTTACCAGATTAGCATTGCCTTACTTCATCCACCATTTGAGGTTTGCTTTTCAAGTTACCTCCTTTGAATAATTTATTGAATAATCTCTTGAAAGTTGCCTTCACTGTGTGTTTACCTTGCCTGTCTCTCTGATCTGTATTGATGATGTGACCACCATACTTTTGTGATTGTATATATAGATGGCAGGCATTTGAAAGCCTCTCAAACTTTGTTACAGTAACTCTTTAGTGTATTTTGACCTTTCTTTGATATTATGTATTCAGTACTTTTTTTTTTTTTTTTTTACTTTTTATGTATGTGACAAAAATGGTAGGTAAATATATCCTTTATAAATGTGATGGAAGATTGGGGTAAATGACAGAGTGTCATTGTAGAAAATCTGGAAATATGGAAGAGAAAGAAGAAAAACATGGGAATCTTCAAATCCATAAATAGTCCCTAATAGCATTTCTATTATTCACCATTTGAACAAAACTATGTTGTACATAGCTATTTTATTTAGAGGATAAGTTAGCATCTTCCCACATCTTAGTATTATTTTAGCATCAGTTACAGTATTAAAGTATGTATTAATTTTCACGTTTTGGTTATTTTATAAAATTTTACTGGATAAGTCTACTGTTCTTCACATTTCCCCATCATTCAAAATAAAAATACTATGTTGCTTAGCTTTGTTACTTTAAATGTAGCAAATGGGGGGCGCCTGGGTAGCTCAGTCGTTACGCGTCTGCCTTCGGCTCAGGTCATGATCGCGGGGTCCTGGGATGGAGCCCCACCACATTGGGCTCCCTGCTCAGTGGGAAGCCTGCTTCTCCCTTTCTCATTCCCCCTGCTTGTGTTCCCTCTCTCGCTGTCTCTCTCTCTCAAATAAATAAGTAAAATCTTAAAAAAAAATAAAATGTAGCAAATGAGAATTCTTCTATGCATTAGGATTTGTTAGTCCTTATTGGAAGTTTTTAGGTTTGGCGGGAAACTAATGGCACCTGAAATGACACTATCTGACTCTGCTTTGTGAATTAAATTTTTCATTTTTTTTTTTTTTTAAAGAGTTGGTATAATTGTACGTGGTATAGAATTCAAGGTAGAACAAAGACTGAAGAGCAGACTGGCAGGATTCTAGGCTGGGTTTACCCTGACCTTACAGCTAAGGTAGCAGTGGCTGAGTAAGAGGGAGTAAAGAGGAGATGAGTCCCACTGTGTGGGTTTTTTTTTTTCCTTTTCCGAAGTTTATTCTTGAATGTACGACAAACTCCTAGACACACTCATTCTAGCTAAGGTAGCAACAGATGTTAATGGCAGAGAATCCAGGTGTTTTAAACAGCAGTGGAAGTAAGGGTTACCATCTCCTGATGGAGACACAAGGAACTGCTTACTTTCTGCCAGATTTCTCAATTCTGCCTGTGGCCCGGGGACTCTTCCTTATAACCTTCACTTTAGCTCCTCCAGCTTCTTTTTCTGTTTCTGTTGGAAAGCTTTATCTTCCTCTTCCATCTCCTTGAACTGCTTCAGAGGCTTCTTGCCACTGCTTCATCCCCAGACCCTGCCACTGGAAGCAGTGAATTAACCATTTTTGAAAGCAGGTGAGGCGTTATTGAAAATTTTAAACAGATTGTGGGGTTTTTGTATACTGTTTCAGGACGGTTGTAAAAGGAGAGAAAACCTAATAGAGCATTATGTAAAAGTTGAATTGAGAGTCACTCGGATTGTATAGAGCTAGTCTTGCCTGTAGGCTCTGCCATGGTTTATTTATTTATAAAGATTTTATTTATTTATTTATATGAGCGAGGGAGAGAGAAAGAGCACGAGTGGGGGTGGGGGCAGAGGGAGAGGACAAGCCGACTCCCTGCTGAGCGTGGAGCCCCACTCGATTCCAGGATCCTGAGATCATAACCTCAGCTGAAGTCAGACAATCAGCTGAGCCACCCAGGTGCCCCTCCGATTTTTATTTAAAAACATTATCACAATTGTAATGATTATGGCAGGTTATCTTTGGCTATAAAATTTTTTGTTTTAGGTTAAGTGTGACTCTAGGTTTTGGCCCAGGTTATGATCTCAGAGTTGGGAGATTGAGCCCTTTGTCCTCTGTGCTGGGTATGGAGCCTGTTTAGGATTCTCTCTCTCCCCCCACCTCCCTCTGCCCCTCCCCCTCCCTCTCTAAAAAAAAAAAAAAAACCTACATTGAGATTTATTTGTTAAGCAGGAATTTAAACTGTATCCCACTTTGCCCAGTAAATACACACAGATCCTGAGTTTTTTTTTCCAGTACTTTCAAGTGTAATAGGAAAGGGTATTTGATTATAAATACATATTTAAACAAGTAATATTTAACTTTCTCTTTTTTTTCTCCCTCTTTTCCAATTCCTAATGTTATAATTTTGATTGATGGGGGCTATAACCATATATGTCATTTACTTTAAATGATTGTGTTTCTATTTGTGTTTTGTATTTGTTTTTCTTATTTTTAAGCCCCCTCCCTGTCAGCATAGACCCTCCCTACCCCTGCCCTGACTGTGTATTTGTTCTTCTTGATCTTATCTTTGAGATTTCAGCTTAGCAGTACTTTATCATAGTTCCTAACCCATTCTGTTTCCTGTGTGCTTGTTTATAATCTGTGACAGATTATAAACTTTTAAGTTTTTAGTTCCAGTTAATATATTTAAGTATTAACTGGAATTAAAATATACAGTATTACATTAGTTTCAGGTGTACAGCATACTGATTCAGCACTTCCATACATCATGTTGATCACCTATTTAAGCCACACACCCCCCACCTCCCCTCTGGTAGCCATCAGTTTGTTCTCTGGAGTTAAGTGTCTGTTTCTTGATTTGTCTCTTATTTTTTTTTCCCGTTTGCTTGTTTGTTTTGTTTCTTAAATTCCACCAGATTATAAACTTCTTGAGGGTAAAGTCTTAATCTTGTTCACCCACCGGGCTGTCCCCTTTATTAAGGAGCACCTGGCAATGTAGTTAGATGCTGATTACTTAGTTAACGGAAAGAATTTTTTTTACATATACCAAATGTAAAAAAATACTATTCTCTGAGTACTCAGGTTATTGCTGATTTTTAATGGTAATTATCATTTTGAAGCAGTGAAATAATTCTAAGGAGAGCGAATACAAAGAAGATACTAGTCAGCACTTTCGCATAAGTCTAATCTCCCGGTCCTGATTTGTGCCTTCTGCCTAGTTTTCAAAAATAAACCATTGTAATCCACGGACCTAGATTATAGTCCCCAGAGGAAAGAGGTACTGTCTGTGAATGGAAAAGACTTGGTTATGGTGTTCATACTGTGAGGCAGCACGGTACTTTTTGGGGAATAAAAAAAAGAACTGTGTGGGGGTGGGCGGGGAGGCATTGAGGAATAGAGACAAAGAGGAACTGCAGATGTTGGAAGTTACCAGTAGTTGTTGAAATTGGTTTTCAATAAATGTATTAATTTTCTTTATTCCTTTTTGTATGGCTAAGAAAATTTGCTTCCTAGAAGTTTACAAAAATGACTTTTTAATAGTTAATCATTCTTGTGTTTGCTCCCTTAGCATTTGACATTGTGCAGCAAAGAAATGGTTATGGAGAAGCCCAGTCCGCTGCTTGTAGGGCGGGAGTTTGTGAGGCAATATTATACTTTGCTGAATAAAGCTCCAGAATATTTACACAGGTAAATTCTAAATGGATTATTTAGTATTTTTATTTAGTTTTGTTTTCTTGAATAGGACTACATAGTATTGTATTTCTTCATGTTCTGGTTGTTTCTTTGCAAACCATAACCAATATTTTAATTGTATAATGGCTAAAATCATTTTTTCAAGTTTTTAAAAAATGAGATCCATAGGGGTGCCTGGGTGGCTCAGTCAGTTAAGTGTCTGGCTCTTGATCGCCCCTCAGGCCTTGATCGCAGGGCCGTGAGTTCAAGCCCTGTTTTATTTAAAAAAAAAAAAAAAAAAAACCACGGAAAAAAAAAAAAAAAGGCTTCACATTATATCCCATTATATAACACATTCATGTTCACAATTATATCCTTCAGTATTTTGTATTTCATTTAAATAAACCTTGGGCTTGACCAACTAATGGGTTCTAGTCTGCACTTTGAAATCATAGTCATTAGTTGACTTTTTTTTAAGTTCCTTATAGCAATGTTAGAAAATGAATCATTTAAGTGATTATACCTGTGAAAATTTCTGATTGATCTGCAAAATAGTATTTCTTGGTAAAACAGCACTAGTAGCCTTGTTTACTATTTTGGCAGGAGTTGGACATTTGTAAGTTTATTTTTTCCAGAAGTTGAAATGAAATTGATTTATATTGTGAGTAGTATTTATAATTTTTGTTCTTCCTGTGTATTTTAGCAGGTGAAAGATAAATGATCCTTTTATAAGGATTATGTTTTGCAAGTTTTTGTTGTAGAACACACCAGCCACGTTGAGTTACGGGATAAATCATTGCCACTTCATATGGGAAAAGCTGTTAAAAGGGCTTATTTTCTTTTAGCTAGGTCCTCTTTATAAGTATGCTGGGCATTCCAAAGTTAGATTTTGGAATATGTCTTGTATTATTCCATAAAACATTTTTCTATAACAAATACCCCTCCTCAAAAAAAAAAGAATACCTGTACATTTTTCTAATTATAGAAATAAAAGATATTCTTGCTGACAGTGTATGTAGTTTGGGGTGGGGAGGGGAGAATGGAATTAATAGGGCCTTTCCTTGTCTGAAATTTAGTCTTTTTTAATGTGGGTATTAGCATGTTTTTGTGTTTTTGTTTTTTTTTTTGTAGTGACAATAAGGCTCTCCACCATCATTTCAAAAAACCCCATAAACTTGTTTTATACTTAGCTTATATAACCAATTTACCTATTAATGAAAATCAGTTGGTAATTTTTCACTTGTTAAGAAACTGTGATCATTATCCTTATACATGCATCTTTGTGCACTTTTCTAGTTATTTTCTTAAGTTCCTAGAAGCAGAATTGTTAAAGTTATAATTATTTCTAAGGCTTTTCCTACACTTAACAGCCAAGTTGTCCTCCAGAAAAATGGTAGAAGTTTACATGTTTGCCAGTGGTACATGCGAGAAAATAGTGTAAACTTAAAAATACAGGTAGTAGTTAAAAACATGGACTCTGGAACTAGACTGTCTGGGTTCATGTCTTAGCTACCCCACTTGATTAGCGTGTGGCCTTGGGAGAGTTAATTTCTTCTGAACCTCAGTTTGCTCATTTATATAATAGTGCTTATTTCATGAGGTTGTTGGGGAGGGGTAAATAAATTAATATATGTAATGCACTGAGAGCATTGCTTGGCATAGATGAAGTCTTAAATGTTTCATTAACAATAGGAGCTGAGTTCTCTTTATGAAAATACTAATTTTGCATGTTTGATAACCTTAATTTAGAAAGATATTAATTCTAATTGCTTTAGGTAATGCCAGAGAAATACTAATTAATCATGTACTTAAGAGCAGTATAAAATATTAATGAGATATCAGATACTGAAATAATGTAGATTTTCTCATTTGGGCTCTGAATTATTTCAATGATTGTAAATCTAACTAAACTGCTTTAATCTAAGCTTTTGGAATTAGTAATCATTTGGAACTTTGAGTAGAATGTTAAACAGCAACAGCAACCGATTCCCAAACAAATCTAGAGAACTGAGTTTTGTATCTAAAGGGAAAAACTGGGTCAATTACCACAGCATCAGTTATTTAGAATGTATTTTGAATATCTCATTCTTCCACTTCAAAAAATAGATGTGATAGGAATTAGATGAGAATTGCAAATAATTGAGTGTATTTTCAGTGTGCCAGGCCTGAACCCTGTCGTTACTCATTTAATCCTTACAAACAGCCCTGTGGAGTAGTTACTGTTATTGTGTTTGATAACCAAGGAAACTGAACTTAAGGATCATAAGTAACTTTAGCAGAATTATACAACGAGTGACAAAGCCAGACATGCAAGCTAGGTCTGTTTTATACCAGAACTCTCCTGCCTCTTAGGCTTCTCTTGACAGTTGAATGTTAATCAAATATCATTGGCTTTACAGGTTTTATGGCAGGAATTCTTCCTATGTTCATGGTGGAGTAGATGCTAGTGGAAAGCCCCAGGAAGCTGTTTATGGCCAAAATGTAAGTATCAATTTCATACACATTTTAGATTTTTTTCCCTTTTCTTGGTGTTAAGAGCCTTTAATAGCCTTTTTGTGCCGATGGATTTCTTCCTGAATGTAATCTTTACTTGTAACTAGAAATGTATGTTACAATAGTTGTTAAATGAGCTTTCAGTTCTTATAAATATCCATTTATAAGGATGCTACACTGGATTGGATACAAAGAAGATAGGAAATTATCTATCCTTGATGTATTTTGTACATGAAACAGTTGAGAACAATATATTAAGTTTATACAAATATGGGCTAAACCTTATGTACAGGAGTGCACAGAAGGTTATGTGCTTTATGACATTATAGAGGATATGGGACTTTAGTTAGATGCTGAATTACAGAATTTGGCCTTAGTGTACAAGAGGAAATTAAAAGCAGAAGAAATGGCACCAACAAACTTTACCAATAAAGTAAAATCAGCTGTGAGGTAAGGAGTAGTCAACACAGTTTGTATGAATGATTTAAAACTTAATACAGAATACTGGGAGAGAGCTATATAAAGCCCATATTATTGCTTAATATGAGATAGCCATAGTGATCTCTTGTATTGAGCTGTGACATGTTGAAAATGGTGGTTTAGGAACATCAACCTGGCAGTAATGCATATCATGGTGGAAGGGATTCAAATGAGGCAGAAAGATTATGTAGTTAATATTTTAGAGTTAGGAGGAAATCAGTGAAGCTCTATAGTGTTAAGTAATAAAGTATCACAACAGTTTGTATTTCTTCCTTCCTTTCTTCTATTAAAGGATATACACCACAAAGTATTATCTCTGAACTTCAGTGAATGTCATACTAAAATTCGTCATGTGGATGCTCATGCAACCTTGAGTGATGGAGTAGTTGTCCAGGTTATGGGTTTGCTATCTAATAGTGGTCAGCCAGAGAGGAAGTTTATGCAAACCTTTGTTCTGGCTCCTGAAGTAAGTTTTCATTTGTATGATTTTATTTGATTGTTATTAGTTGCATGCTGTCCAGAGTTTTTTTTTACAGGTTTATATATGCATGTAGCTAAACTTGAGAAATTGGTATTGAACCTGTTGATAAACATTGACTCTTGAGCAACACAGGGATTTGGAGCACCGACCTCCCGGGCAGTTGAAAATCCACATACAGCTTTTGACTTTTCAAAAACTTAACTCTACTAATAGCTTGTTGTTGACCAGAAGCCATACTGATAGTATAAATAGTCAATTAACACATATTTTATAGCTTATATGTATTCTGTAATTCTATATTGTATTCATACAATAAAGTAAGCTAGAGAAAGGAAAATGGTATTACATAAGAGAATACATTTACAGTACTGTAACGTATTGAAAAAAATCAGGTGTAAGTGGACTCGTGCAGTTCAAACTTGTGTTGCTCAAGGGTCAACTGTAATTTGAGCTTTGTGTGTGTACACACTTTGCCTGTCTTTTTCGTTTTATTTTTTTCACTTTGCTTATTTAGAAGTTAAAGTCTACTGATACAAATTTATCAATAGATTTACTAAGATTACAAGAATAATATAAAATATCTTATTTAGTAAGTTATATGTTAAAATGGCAAAGTTTCATTTGTTAGTCTTGGTCTCTTCTGTTGAGTACCCATTTCTCGAGTTCCAATATTTGAATGACCTGTAGTATACTTTATATTAATATAGCATGTTTAATTTTAGGAAATTATACTGAGTCTACATAATATTTCTATAGTGTTAAAATAGATATTGCATATGCCATGTAATTTGTTCTTTTTATGCAGTGCCACATTTATGAGTATTTAATGGAATATTTGGATTTTGTTTTCCTGTAGGGATCTGTTCCAAATAAGTTTTATGTTCACAATGATATGTTTCGTTACGAAGATGAAGTATTTGGTGATTCTGAACCAGAACTTGATGAAGGTGAGGTTAAAATAGAAGGCTTCTATCAGTATTCTTTAAAGACATGAAAAGTACGAAACTTAAAGAAATTTGCCTCTATTGTAACTGAGCCAAACCCCTTTTTCTCCTTTTTGTTAAAAAGAAATAGGTGTTGATTGTATGACATTATATAAAAATCAGACATAGAAAGTAAAACAAATTTCAGTCTCATCCTCTATATATAACCAAGAGTTTGTGCCTATTATAGAATTTTGTTGTATCCCATCCTTGGATGTACTTATTTTTATAAAAATGGAATTATGCTGGTTCAAAGCTTGCTCTTTTCTATTTAATATATCTCTGGCTGTCAGTTTTTTGGCTATATCATAATTATTGATCTTTCATTTATTAGTTTTCATTATTGTACTATTGAGTAGATGTGACATAGGAAACTGAGTTACAGCTTAATATAATTTATTTCCTATCCTTTCCTTTTCTTACTACTAGATCATTTTTAAAAATAGGGACACCTGCATGGCTCAGTCAGTTAAGTGTCAGGCTCTTGATCCTGGCTTAGGTCTTGATCTCATGGTCATGAGTTTGAGCCCTGCATTGGGCTCCGCGTTGGGCTTCACACTGGGTGTAGAGCCTACTTATATAAATAAAGGGACTCCTGGGTGCTCAGTTGTTTAAGCATCTGCCTTCAGCTCAGGTCATGATCCTGGGGTCCTGGGTTCGAGTCCTGCATCGGGCTCCTTGCTCATCGGGGAGCCTGCCTCTGCCTGCTACTCCCCCTGCTTGTGCTTACTCTCTCGCCTGCTGTCTCTCTGACAAAATCTTAAAAAATAAAAGTAAATACCAAACTTCATCTTGCTTGCTTTTCAGTTAAGAGAACAGGGAGTACTGCATTTGAATGCCTTAGTAAGGAAAAGGTCAATTTTTAAAACTATCCTATCACTTCCTTAAACATTTAAAATATGCATGTGAGATAGTTTGTTGAGTCTCTTAAAAAAGAAATGTGTGTTCTGTATTGTCAGAATCAGAAGATGAGGTAGAAGAGGAACAAGAAGAAAGGCAACCATCTCCAGAACCTGTGCAAGAAAATGCTGATAGTGGTTACTATGAAGCTCACCCTGTGGCGTAAGAATAGTGTTTGCAAGGCCAAATTTGGTCTAAGCTATAATGTAGTTGCTAGGTGGTTTTTGTTCCTAGGATTACTGTTAGAAGTAAAATTTTTTTTTTTTTTTAGAAGTAAATTTTTGATAAAGCTACCTGTCAGGCCAGTATTGGAGCACTATATATAGTGTTCAAATATATATATATATATAAAATACATATTTTTATATATTATATATATATGCAAGAAATTTGGAAAGAGTTGTTTTATTTACATAAAAAATTGAACATGGTTTTTCCCAAAACAGTGTGTACTTACTGATAATGCAGAATAGTTGGGACAGCACAGCATTTTATTTTATTTTTATAAATATGTGGTTTGTTTATAGGTAGTATTGAAGTAAACATTTTTAGTAATTTAGTAATTCCATTTAAAAATGCTGGGGTTAAAGAAATGCTGCTTTAAGACTGTTATTCCTTCTGCCTTCTAGTTCTTATTGGACTTTTGCTTCAAAACAGCTTATTACTAGTTATGCCCATTAGATTAGAGAAATACTAATTTTGTTTTATTAGAACTGATCATTTCATTCATACTGAAAAATGAACAAAATATTTTATTATAGTAATGGCATAGAGGAGCCTTTGGAAGAATCCTCTCATGAACCTGAACCTGAGCCAGAATCTGAAACAAAGACTGAAGAACTAAAGCCGCAAGTGGAGGAGAAGAACTTAGAAGAGTTAGAGGAGAAGTCTACTTCTCCTCCTCCCGCTGAACCTGTTTCTCTGCCACAGGAACCACCAAAGGTTAGATCAAAGGAACTCTTTAGGCCTGTAACAGCACACTTTCACATTTGGTGCCATTGATGAAGCATGACCTTTGTTCTATTATGTTAAATGGTTTAATATAGTAAACTATGATTTTTTATGTATATGAAAGCTGTGGGGTTTTTGCAAACCTGAGGAAATTCCTTGGTATTCACATTCCCCCCTCCCCCCCCAAATACCCCTAAGAGTGAAACTTAGGATTAATCCTTGTCTGTATGCAGTGTTTAGTCTCTTACATGAAATTGAGTCCATGTATAAAGCTGAGAGTTGCTCTTCCATTCTGTATAAGTCCTCTATGCACGATGCAACTGGAGTCATGAAATTTCCCAACTTAAACAAGTTGGCCTATTAAAAGAAGAGATACCGTTATTTCTGGTTAAAATGGGAGCAATTTCCTTATACACCAAATAAACTATCTTGGAAAGATAAGTGACACCCATAGTGTATCATTTAAGCCTACCTAAAACATCTTTTATCTTTCTGTAAAGTAGAAGGTTTAAGTATATATGAGTAGTGAGAGGAGATTCCTTGTTCAATTTGTGAATGTCTGTTAAAGTTTCCAGTGAGTACTCTCTTCTTTCCTATCCTTCCCCTCAACACCATCACACACCTTATCTTCCCCCAAAAGGGGAAAGAAATTGGTTCTATTAGGTTCTTTTTTTTCTAGCATGTGTAGCTAGTGGTTTTGTTTGCCATTGCTCATCTCCTTAGAGCAAATAGGAACTTGTGGATTTATTTAGTAGTTCAGACAAAACAAATAATCTTGCATAATGAGATTTTGAAAGCTGGCACATAGACTGGCATGTGTGTGTGTGCCTTTCTTTTGAGGAGTCCTCCAATATAGAACAATAGTTTAGAAATGAAAAGAAAATATATATTTGGAAGTTTCCCTATAGGAATGTTGGTGGTTTTCCATGATTAGTAGTCTAGGTTTGTTGCATTTCCTGCAGGCTTTCTCCTGGGCTTCAGTGACCAGTAAAAACCTGCCTCCTAGTGGTACTGTTTCTTCCTCTGGAATTCCACCCCATGTTAAAGCACCAGTCTCACAGGTAACCAATCTGTGAACACATTGGATTGTATCCTTGTTACATTGCCAATTGCTTATCTTTTTTATACTTCTTTAAATGAGTCAATCAGGAATTATGGATTAAATATACAAAAAATTGTATTAAATGTCAGTGCACCCACTTTAAATGCCAAATCTCTATCATCTGCATAGGTGGTATTTGGGGTTTGGGTGTGAACTACACATTAAGTTGGTTTGATTGATAGATAGATGGATAGACAGAGTCATTTAAAAGGCTTCTTAAAATAACAAAAAAATGTTCCTTTTAAAGTTTTAAAATTTATTTAGCAAAAATATTTTAAGGAAAGGCACAAAGTAGTATGGCATTATAAAAATCACTGTTTAAAAAAGAAAAAAAAATTCAAAAAAGACACTGCCTAAGCTCTCAGTCTGTAAGTGGTTCACTCTGTTTAATTGAAGCCTGTACCAACTTATGACTGTAGTGTTCACTTAACTGATCATTCCAGTATTCTGCTTTTCATCTGTTTGTCATCTTACCCATTTCAGAGCTTTCAAAAACATTGAAAATAAGACACTGGCTACCTGATGGGTTTATTAGATATAGTTTAGAATTAACTAAAATTATTAAGTTTATAATACAGTTAAAAGGTATTCAATTCTTTTTTCCATTTTGAGTCAAACGTTATTCCACTAAAAAATTTACATTTAAAATGGTTAGTGCATATACAGTTATTTTTGTATACGCCTCTTATATGCTCTAAACAGTGAAACTTTGAGGCTTCAAAAAAGTAGTAATCATTAGACTGTCTTTATGGTGTTGGTACATGTAGTCAGATACATAATAGCAGAATACATGGCCTCAGGATACCTGTTTTTTCAGCTAACGTTCAGGAAATGCTGAATAATGTCAGATCACAAACCAGAATTCTGTTTTAGTGAAGAAAATTAATTTGTCAAGTATTGGTTGTGCTTTTCAACCCTTCTGAAGACCTGATGAGTGACGTCTGAATTTTCTTTTGAAATGCTTGATTTCTTATCAGATTTGCATTTGGAATCCTTTGGATTGTTACTTCATCTTCTGAGTGTTGGCTATATTTTATTCTTACTGCTAGTTAAAAGTTAAAATAGCTAGTGCTTATTATGCCTTTAGTATGTGCCAGGTGTTGTGTAAAGTACTTTATATTCATTCTCATCTAATCCTCACGGTCACCCTGTAAGGGTGGTTACTGTTACTATTCTGTTTCACAGATGAGTAAATTGAGGTCTAGAGTACCTCAACCTAAGATCAGACAGCTGTATAAATAGCATATGGCTTCGCTTTGAATTCATGCAGTTAGATACCAGAGTCCCTTTGTGACTCATTTAAACCTATAGGTTTCTTTAGCCCTTTGGAGGGGAATGTATCTCCATTTACAACAAAGAAGAGTACTATATTCAAGGCATGTCTGAATTACATTAAATCCTATCCTTTTGCCCAGGGGAAATTTTTTTTTTTTTTTTTAGTTTTGAGGTGTTTTTTTTTTTAATTGTAGGAGATTAGATTGTATTTTCCAACCCATACCCGTATTAAGACATATTTAAACATGTACAGTTTAAGCCTTAACTTTCTGGGGCGCCTGACTAGCTCAGTCGGTAGAGCATCCAACTCTTGATCTTCGGGTTGTGAGTTCCAGCCCAACATTGGGTATAGAGCTCACTTAAATAAATTAAACTTAAAAGAAAAAAACAACAAAAAACCATTCTGATCTTTTTAGGCTATATTTAGAATGGATTCATGATTTTTCCACTTGATTTAATAAATCCTTCAATTTAATTACTTTGTAGTATATCCATTGCCTTAACACTTTTAGCATAGTTTAGTAAAAGGAGAATTTAATTTAGTGTATTGGTAGAAATTAACTTAGAAGTAGGTAAGTTAATTTTTTGGTGAAAAGGTTTTACCTGGAAATTGACTAGATTATCTAAGTAGCTTATGTTCAGTTAAAGAACTTATTGTGGTTTTACCTGCTGTCATTGGTTTGATTTGATGGTTCCATTTTTATTTCATATTCTGTTTGACCTTTTGTGGAATTTATCATCTGAGCACACTTTGTGGTTGCATGGAATTAATTTGTAAGGCTCTAAAGTGTAGTATGTGAGATGTTAGCCATTTTATCTTGTTGGAGTAAATAGTTCTAATCATGAAATTGAGCCTGAAGAACTATAAATGCACAGCTGGCTTAGTTGACATAAATTAATCAGTTATTGAAAGGAATATTGTTAGATCTTGGTCTCGGTTTTTTTTGCATTAGCATCCTCAAATACCTTCTGAAACTCAGGTTGCTAAATCACTGTATGAATTATTTGAAAGACATTAGAAATTACTTAAGTTTGTTTTTAATTTTAAATCCTTAAAGGATAATGAACTTTTCTGTTTTGCTACTTGCCGTTATTTTTGTTTTGGTAATCAGTTTTGAAAAAAATTTAAATTAGGTGAGGACACCTCTTAAGTTCTTTGATATTCTTTGGATTCAATGTGTCTAAGGTTTTTCTGAAATTTTTAGATTAAAAGGTACATTTGCTATTTTTATTAATTTCCTAAACCCACTAGCTTCATCAAACTATGTTAGGGTACATCTATTCTTTAATTCTGTTTTATATTCATACTGAAATAAGTTGGTGCTTTTAGGCCCCCTTAGTGTAGTGAAATTCATAAATAACCGCCCCTTTTAGGCATCACATTTCGCGTCAAATTACCATATAGTGTTAAACTCCAAATACAAATAGCAATGGTCCCAGGGTTATAACATAGGATCCCTTGTCAGGCATAGAACATGTTAAAGAACTAAAAATGTAATTTAATTTTAAATGAACCAAGAGTTACTGAACATCTATGCCTAACATCACTGTGCTTGTTTTTTGGGTGTTATAGAAATGAATTAAGATAAGATACAGTCTTTAGAGTAATAAATATATATAAATAATTGAGAAAACTGGAGAGAGTTAAAAAAATTATTTTTTTAACTAGCAAAGTTTTAGAACATGGGAAGCAACTTGATCTTGAGGGAAATGGGAAATCTTCATGGAAAAACAACTTGGAAAGAGATAGACATCTGTTAAAAACTGCTAGGATAGGAATTAATATGCATTTTGATTACAGTGGGTGAAATCCTTTAAATTGTCATTTTTGGAAGAAACATAACTCTTCATATCAAAATTTGTCCTTGTAAGTTATGATATTCCAGTTATATAAATGATAAAAGAGTTTGAGACACTGGCTGGACTGAGGTTCTCAGAGATGATCAGACATGAAGACAGGCTGAAATCACTAGTTTTCTGAGTTTGAGAACATTTTCTTCGTATCCTGCTGAGTGTTTTCAGCATTCTTTGAAGGTGTATTTTGTCTCTTCCTTGGACCATAAATATTGGCAGTAGATGGCCGAAGAGTACGGGAATACTGAAAATGTAACTGTATTGAGGAAAAGGTAAAAGCAGATGCAGATGTTATTTTGTCGTAAAATAGTTAATTATATGTGTGTAATTCAGCAGTTGGCAGAAATTTTTGGAAGTCCTCTTAAAATGTCCTATTACTACTCCTTACCTGGCCCTGCCCCAAGGTGCAGTGAAAGAAAATTGGTGGGGTCAGTCCTTAAATAGTTGCCTACCTTTTCCATAAGGAAGAACAATAGGGAGCTAAAGGACTCCTTGATTCTGAGGTGTCTTCTACATGTTTCTGTCTTGTTTATTTAATTTTAACTTAAAGGTAGGATTTTTTAGTTGCTAGAGTAAGCTGAATTGTATATTTTGAACTACCCATTGTTTTAAGATTTATGTGGTGGGGTTTAGAAGATACTGGCTAAGCACTTACATTTGAAGGGCAGCTAGATAATTAGAAAGTATGTGTCATAATTTTGTCTAAAATAAAGATGGCTATTTTGCATATGCATTTACATGGAGTGGCTCATCTTGCATTTTTGTGATTTTTGTAGCAGTACCTTTAATGCTGTCTCAGTGTGGATATAAATTTATTGAAAAAATGTGGTTGTAAAAAGCAGCTTATTTTGAGTTATATATCCTTGAATGGGAAAACAAACCTACCCTACAGTCCTAGATTGGTACAGAATATCTTTATAAAAATTTATTCACATACATAGGACACTATGTTAAAAATATTCTAAACTTAAAATTACCATTATGTGTGCTGGTGGCTTGCTGGTAGTTGCTTTAGTTGTTTTGTCTCCTATGGAATGAGTTTCTTTATAATGTGTTTTTTCCCTTGTATTTTAGCCAAGAGTTGAAGCTAAACCAGAAGTTCAGTCTCAGCCACCTCGTGTGCGTGAACAACGACCTAGAGAACGACCTGGTTTCCCTCCTAGAGGACCAAGACCAGGTGAGTCAGCCACCTCTGTGGCCTTTCGCTTTTAGTACTTGGAAAGTTGGAAAAGACTGAACTTAAAATACTATAATGTGCTTTATATACAGTTCCTTTCAATACAAAATTTCTTAAAGGTTTAAGTAACTTGCTAAAGTACAGTCTGGGGCAGAACAACTGACTAGTAGGGGAGGATTAGATGCCATGCGATGGAGACATGTATTTTGAAGGTGTAAAAATTTTGAGAAAGATTTTATTTGGTTATTGTCACTGGTTCTAAGAATTCAAAACCGAGCTGCCAATAACCTACTCTCTTACTTAGCGCTCTTATCTCTTCACAGATAAACAATAAGCACACCCTGATTCTTCTTATTTTGATTGTCTTAGGTATTAAGTAAGTTGCCATGATTTTTGACTTGTTTCCATTGTTAGCTAATATATGTAGCACCTCTATTTGAATTCTATAAGTATGTTTAGATTGCTTTTGGGAGGAGGTGGGAGATCGTATCTATTAATAGCATATGTAATTTTCCCCACAAAAGTAAAATAAAGTGATGTGTTACTAAACCAGAAGTCATGGGAACTGGGGTTTGTCCTGGCTTTGCTACTGCTTGAGTTTATGGTCTTCGGTGAGACCCTTAAAATTTGAGCTGCTTTTACGCCATTTAGTTATTACACAAACTTTTCTTATGTGATGCCTTTCTTAATATGCCTCACTGTGTTCTTTGTGTTATTGGGAGGATCAATGCAGGCTATCTAAATAAGATATTACTATTAAATTTACTGATTTGGCTATAATTTCATACAACCAAAGATTAATTTGCAAACCTCAAAATACTAAACAATATCTGAAATTTGTTTGGTTCCTGGGTGATGGCAAGAGTTTGGTTAAGGAGGAACATTTGTACTAATGTTGGACTTTCATATAATCAGACCAGTAGATCTAGAAGAAGGTACTTTAGAGGTCTAGTCAATACCCTCACTTTACACTTTGTGTCATGTTGTTTTTTAACTAATCTACTAATAATAGGCACTTCCACCTCTGTTCAAGGAGTTCACTCTCTTATTAAACTAAAACAATATCTATTGTACATTCATTGCTTTGAGCTTAGTTATTATGTGACATTATAAACTTTAATACCTGTCCTATTCCTTTTCTCAGGCCGAGGAGATATTGAACAGAACGAATCTGACAACCGTAGAATAATTCGCTATCCAGACAGTCATCAGCTTTTTGTTGGTAACTTGCCACATGATATTGATGAAAATGAACTGAAAGAGTTCTTCATGAGTGAGTAGTTTATTTTACTTTATTGGAAAATTAAGCAGGGGGGAATAGAGCTTTTCTCATAATGTAATTAGAACTTTTTAGAAAAGCTTTTCTCTATAAACCGTAGGTCTCCAGGTACCAATCACTTTAATTGATCAGAAGGGAGTAGAAGGTTCTTTTAGATGCTTCCCATGACTGTACTTAGTGTTGACTGGCCTAGTTGGAGAGGGTTAAAAAAAGAGCTGATTTAGCCTTAAATTTGGGGATGGGATTCTTTTGGAAAATATAAGTCAGAAATAGAAAATATCATTGTTTTTGTAAAATCTTGCATGTAACTTTCCTTTGGAGGGACTGATTCAGAAGGGTAACAAACCAAGCGGCCAGGCTAGTTGTTGGCATCTTTGCGTGAATGACTTGTATGAGTGAATGTACCTTGGTTGTCACTGGATGTAGCAGCTTGTAACTTGTTTTGAATTGGTTCAAGTAGATTAAGATTATTTCTCCTCAACAATTAAAGCTACAAAGTATCCTATTAAAACATGTATCATGTGATCTCACTGATATGAGGAATTCTTAATCTCAGGAAACAAACTGAGGGTTGCTGGAGTGGTGGGGGGTGGGAGGCATGGGGTGGCTGGGTGATAGA